TCAAGCTTGCGCAAAATGAGCGGAGGTCTGAAAGATAGAATGCCGAACTGTTTAGTAAGAGAGCGTTGTGGTATATAAGATGATATAGTGACCAGGGAAGAGAGGAGGAGGCTTCGATGGTTTGATCATGTAGAAAGAATGAATGTTGATAGACTAAAGGTACAAAAATATAGAGCGAATGTGTATGTAGAGGTAGACATCGGCGTACATATCTCAATCAGATTGGGGATGTCCTTAAAAAAGGCTGGGTTAAAAGTACTTTAGGAGCTGGGTAGCTGTACGGTTTTCTTCAATGAAAAATCGAGTATGAGAGTTGGAATCAGAATTACAATGCATTTATTGGCTATAATAACTTATATACATACAATAGTTTTTTAATTCATAACAGTAGAGATCCTTGTGAAAGAGTTCGTCCAGGGAAATAGTGCTACCTTTTCTATTTCTGCCGCCAAGCAGTAATGTTAGCATTACTGTGTTCCGGTTTTGAAGGGTAAGGGTGCTGGTGAAATTAAAGGCACATGGGACTTGTAAATTTATGTCTCAGGGTGACATAAGTTGATAAGATTTAAAGAGATGAGTGGCACTGCAACTGTTATGGACAGGCGTGTAGCTTACCATCAGGCGCACGACTTGCTCGTCCCGTCACTTGATAAATGTTATAGTGCTAGCAAAATGTCACGACACTCGCGCTACAGTTGCATAATACGTACTCAAGACGACAAAGACCAATATATTCCATTAAATTGTACAAATGGTTCGCAATTCGTATCCTATTGAGGAGGGATGCCGGCTGATTTGTTATTGAAAAAGAATTTCCAACCATTGTCAGGGTGAATTGTAAGTAATTTCTGTTACGTCTCGCAGATTTCCGGCAATTTTTATAGCATATAATATTTTTGACATATACTGTTTATATCAACGAATACATATGTATATAATCATGGATCATTAACTGAAGAGGGCTGTTAATCGAGATACAAGATAGCGTAGGCGGGTATTTAGTACATATTGATACCAAATAGCTATTTTGGTAACTAATTTTTTTTACAATGACAAGCTCCAATTTATCAAAGCTACCCAAATTCCTAGTAATAACAAACGAATCAACTAGATTGCGCTTAATGCATAGATTTTTATGCATAGTGCCGAATTTTTTTATTTTGTTTAGGATTAGCGCCATCTACCCATATTAGGAAGCGTTAATTTATAAATTAGTTTGTAACACACAGTGCCATCTATTGACACGCTTATTTCAGTACCTCCAATCCGCATCCGTAGAACAAAGATCTCTGTGCAAGACTACTTGTTCTCAGGACATAGTACATTTCGTTCGTTCTTCTTAGCGAGTGGATGTCAGATCGACCGTTGTTATATTTTATATATCCGATGCGAAATAAGATATATAAATTCTCAAAACAACTTTATATAGGCCTTGGTTTGAACAACGAAATTATTCACGTAATGTGCTTTCTCTATATAATCACATAGGACTCTGTTTTTCGGATGCGTCGACTACGCCAACTTTATTTTTTGGACATTTTCTGTTTTTTGTATGTTATTAGTGTCGTCATTGACAAACAACAATTTATATACTAAAACTATTAAAATTTTTAGTGATAGCGAACAAGGCAATTAGATGGCGCTTGTTGCACAGATTTTTATGGATACAGCTGGCTATTCTTTTCTTTTTTTAACCCACTTCAAAAAAGGAGGCGGTCCTCAATTCCACTGTATGTTTTTTTTGTATGTATGTTACGCGATAACTCCGCCATTTATGATCCGATTTTGATGATTCTTTTTTTGTTGGAAAGAGGGTACCTCAGAAGTGGTTTTATTTAAATATGAAGAAAATATTCCACCTCTAAGGGTGGTAAACTAGGGGATTAATGACTTATGAGGTAGGTTTTTTTTAGTACTCTACTGAGGTTAGGTTATTTTTTATAACATCAAGTGACGGAGTCGTGCGCCTGATAAACTACACGCTTGTCCATAACAGTTACAGTGCCACTCAGATCTTTAAATTGCAAAGATGTGAGGGGCACTACCACTGCACCCGTCATCCGGAGACATAAGTCGACAAGTACTATTTCATCAGCACCTGAATCAAGCTGGATTGAAGGATTTTTTTCTAAGCGATCTTTGCATTATTAATTAAGATATTAATTTTATCTCATACTCATTTTTTTTAACGCACACACTCGGCGTAGCCCCGCAATAGGGAAATCCTGTATAGCGGGTGCCATGGACACACACATAGACAACCGTACATAGGTCATATAAATATTTCTCCCGGCCCGGGAACGAACCCGGGACCTCTGCGTGGCAGTCAATAATGCAATATTTGAATAATACTACAAAGAAAAAACCAATGATGTTAAAACTGACTACCTTATAATATCGTATTATAGAAGAATTAATTGATCCACGGTTATTACATAATACAAACACAATCATGAGAGTCACTGGTTCACGTTACACCGTGCCGGAACGGGAAAAAAATACTCGACACCTTTTTTCCTATATCTAAGCTCGACACTTATCGACACTTAACATGAAGTTCATACAAAAGCAGCAGCAGATTATATATAGCAGAAATTTTTACTGTACTGTACACGGCCGGCGCCAGTCTTAAAACTATGTTGAAACGAAAACTATACACTCAGTGCCATTAATGACGAATCTGAATTCTATTTGCTTTGCAACAACATTTAAATTCCTCTGAATAATATAATCGCGCGGTCGATGAGCGGTGTCCACGCGGCCGCCGCGTGGGCCGCCGCGTAGACCAGTTTCACGCCTTCTCGCCCGCGTGTCCGAGACGTTAATTTCAGTTATAACGTAAAAGCTAAACAAATAGACCGTATTTTGCCATGACAGTTAGACGCAAGCGGTCGCTACGCGGCGGCAAAGCGGTCACCTTTAATCGACCGCGCGGGGGCCGCGATGGAATTCGTGTCGAATAAAAGCGCCCTAAAGGTTACTATTACAGTTTCTACGTACTTGAATTATATAGAGCCATAGTAAAGATCCGTTTAGTTCTTTCAAGTTGTCTCGATCAATGATATTTAAAACATATGTTGTAAATTATAAATGTGTATAAATACCTACTTATTTATAAAAACCAACCCGTCTTTCTTACTTATGTTTGGGAATCTACCTTACGAAAGAGCAGTAGAGTATATAGTTAGAAATAAGTTTGGGAATATCTGGTCTAGAATAAGCTACAAAACAGCTGAAAAACTAAAGAAACATACCGAGATCGTAAAAGCATGTTTTTACCTGCAATCTGCTCTTTGTTTCATCACAATACCCTAACGGATTTCGAAGTTACGACGTTGTTACCTTATACGAGAAATGGAATACTGGGGTCTATCTTGAAACTTGATACAAATACTCCACAAAGCAAATAACAAAAGGTGTATTTCATGGGCTTTCAAAACTACCCTCAAAAGAACCCACTGAGACAGTTTGAATTGCAAAATCGGATTACCTTGAATAATAATATTGGAACTCGATATGTGTATTCTCAAATCAAATAACAGTGTGTGGTTGCGCCGAAAATGATATTTGAATTTATATTTGAATCATATTGGAAACTTAGAATAATAACGCATAGAAACCTAGTCCGCACACGCTACGTGAGGCAAATTGAAGCGCGCCAAAAGGGCCTACACGAGCGGGCGGGCCGTCAGTGCTCAAGGTCAACTTGCACCGCGAACAGCTCCAGAATTTTAGCTAAAAATGACGAAATATGCGGTAAATGAGTGTAAAAATACGTCAGACAAACATAAAATAGATACTAACATCACATTCCACAAGGAAGTAACGCGTTTCAACTTGTATTTTTATACAAATATTCACTAAAACCGAAAATTAACCTACTACTAAAACTAGCCTGCATGAATTTGATTTTTGCCTCACTTGTGACAGTTCGTTTGATATGAAACTATCATTATATGCGTTATTATTCTAAGATTGGAAATGGTTTTATTGGTTCAATAGTTCCTTCCTTGTTCCATTCCTTTCCCGCAAATACCTTACACGCATGTAAGAGCGAGATAACGTTACCCAAATGGTGACACCTAGCGGACGAAGAGGAAAGCTCTAGCCTCCGCCCTGTTGAACCGCCTGCGTTAATTTTTAAAAATTATAGTGAAACTATACTGAACTGAAAACTATAGTGAACAAAAGTGAACGTACGTTTTGGTGAACTTGTAACATTAAGAATCGCTCCCTGGGCGAGGCAAGGAGCCGCGATCGCTCAAGCCGGCTGGACGGCCACGCGGTTAGTTTTCATGAGGTATTGTGCTCCCAGCTTAGCTCTTCTTATTTGTTCCAATCAACCATACTTATTTATTCACATACAGTCCACAAATCGAAGAAAGGCATGCGTAACGTACGGTTATAAAATTTAAAAATTATAGAACTGAAGGCGGTTATTTTACGGTTAATTTTTGCAAGTTATGAGAATTACTACATTTCCGTCTATGGGTACAAAAATGTAATTTCGTCAGCTATAGGAATATAAACATTATACAGGATACTAATAAAAAGTTCGTTTATGAATTCCATGGGGTGGCTTCACCCATAATTTGGAACAACTCTCTTTGAGAAACCATTATTTAAAAATGTGATACCTTTTGTTACCGTACACAATTTGGCGATCGTGTAATTTCACAAAAAATAATTGAATTTCATGATAGTACATCATCATAATATTCATTACAATAAATATTTAATCAAGTCGTCTTTCAAACATATTTTACTCCGTAGTAATTGGTATTATCCTGCAAGAGCAGGGTCTTCTAATTGCCAACTCTGAAGGTGACAGGCAAGCGCTTAAATCTTACCCCGTAAAACACTCCGACTAAGGTTTGATTCTACTCGTATAGAATTACAAATCCAAGAACGGCTGGCAAAGGTAACAAGAAATTTCGAGTCTGAATTCATAATATACGCCGTATCTTGTTAGCTGAGACTTTAAAGTAACCACATCTCACCCTGTGCTTGTGCGTATCTCGTAACGGCAAGGTTTCCTCACTGCCGCTTCTAGAGGAATCAGGAGGTGTAAGTCTCCTCTGGTCGCTCTGTGACGATAGAATTTGCATCTCCAACATTTGCTCCTGCCGGATGTCGTCGTTGTAGTCCTAGAACAAAGGGTTTATTTTAGTTTGAGTGGTGTATTTCTGCAGAGGGCGGTGGTAGAACTTCGGCTGCTATCATGAACTCAAGACGACTGCGATATAAGACACCGTAGTCGGATATTTAGTACCAATTGGTACACCAGATTTCGCAACGGGTACCAAATAGCTATTTTTGGCAGCCCTTCACAAAGTATTGGTGTCCAAATTACTAAGCAGGACTAAAAATATACATGTTTACAAGACAGTAATTAGGCCAATTTTAATGTATGGGTGTAAAACGTGGCCACTAACGCTGAAGGAAGGACATAAATTATTAGTGGCAGATCAAAAGATAGTTCGAAAGTTTTCGGGACCAATAAAAAGAGAATTTGGGAACATGAGGGCCAGATTCAATGGAAATATCGAAGAGCTTGTGTCTAATCCGAACAGAATTTTCTAGTAAAATCCGTCAGATTTCGCTAGCTGGGGCACGTCGAAAGAATGGGGGAGGATCGAGCTGCCAAAAGAGGGTGTTTGGAGCGGGCTACGGGGCATCGTCCAGTCCGAGATATTGTTGGATGCATGGAGTCGCCAAAGAACTGCTGTAAGTGCCTGAATGGTCGCAACTGGCACAAAACCGTAGGAAATGGCGTACTTTGATGTCCGAGGCCAAGTTTCACTTCGGGTTGCTGAGCCAGCGACGGAAGTAAGTAATCTACTTGGGTTATACATCAAATACATCTTTTGTCAACATAATTCTAGTCAAAATAAGACCGTGAAGATAAATGGAACAAAAGTGAAACAGCCAATAGGTTACAACTCTATCCCTAACAGTAAGACAAACTGTTATCCAAATGTTTCAAGTTTATTGAAAAGGGAATGTCACGTATCGAACACATCTGGAACTCAATGCCGGAATATTTGCGAACGGGATCTGGCACTTTGAATAGTTTTTGTTACAAAGTTTTATAAAATTAGAAAGTTATGCATCAAATAAATTATAAGTTTCTCACGCCTTCGTGGACGTTGGGGTCCCGGGTTCGATTCTCGGGCCGGGAGGAATTGTACGGCCTACATTTATTTATGTCATGAGTTTGGATGTAATTTGTGGCTGTCTATGTGTGTATCCATGGCACTCGCAATACAAGGTTTCCCTAGCGCGAGGCTATGAGTGTGTGCTTTACTATTATTGTCACGGGTGGCTATTCGATATCCAAGTATGAAATGTACTTGGACTTGGATATCATAGTTGATTAAGGAGGTATTGTTTTAATTTATCCTTAATGTTTTTGGGGTAAAGCTTGTCTTAGATAGGATAGTACTCTGTACTGATTTCTGGTGCTCTGGTGCTCTTAGTTTAGGGCATAGTTTCCCAAAGTGGGAAGTCCATACCGCCCTCAGTGGTCGCTGAAGAGTCCTAGGTTCGTAGGGAAGTTACGCTGTTATCCACAATAATAAAGTTGAATTGTTAGTTTATAAAGCTTGAGTTTACAATGACAAGTTAAAGTTTGTCAAATATTTAAACGTTACGCAGGTGATATAAGGTTCAATTTTGTTTTGACACAATTGAACTTTCCCGTCGATCGCTAAACACGAATATATTACACCAAAGATCATATCAGTGTAGACGCGACACTGTAGTCTTACAATTTAGTGATATTATGTCTACAGGTACCTACCGATGTACGTGAAGTTGGGAAAACTATTTTTACTTTCTGGTTTTGTGTGTTTGCTTCATAAATTTGTCGGTTCGATGGTTCGAAATAAAACTTTCAATCATTTACGTATGTAATGTGACAGTAAACTTAATGTTTTCGATAAATGTCTCACACTTTGCCAACAAAAGGTATTTTTGCTCCAAAAAAATAATGTAAAATTCAGTAACATAATAAGCGAAGAATGAAAATGTGAGAGTTTCTGGTTGTTAACAAACAAGATAATGATCACCACCAGCTGATGCAGTTCCAGCGCCATCTACGAGTATCTCATATTATCAGTTATATACTTCCGGACATACAATTCGAAGCACCTTGCATTTGTATTCTTAAAGGGCTGGAATATAAAAACAGTATTAACATGGAAAAAAGTTTTTCCCGGGTTTATAAATTCAAATTTCCAACAAGGACTTATGGAAATGACGTTTAATGTACCAGTTACAAAATTGCATAACAGTTTTTGATCAATCACACATTATTTAAGCTTAGGGCATTTACTTCTGAAAACGCGAGATGGCTCGAGTTATGTGCCTGGGTGTATATCTTTTGTTTACAAACTTAAAATATATGGCAATGGCATCGTCAACCTTTGTTACAAATAAATACCATTTTTCGAATTCAAATGCATTAAACGTTTTTTAAGGTTCGAGAGTTTGAATTTAAATCAATAATATTAACAATGAGACGTGGATTTGAATAAAAATGAAAATATTAAAAGATGTCTAAAATTTGGTGTAGGTACATCATGTAACTTGATTCTGACGTGCAGATTTAGTGGAAATGAAAAAGGGACAACCTTATGTATCTCATACGTAATAGAGTAAGTAGTAAGTAAGTAAAAATATGTAGACTTTGCTTGCAGAATTAGCAATTTTTTTTACAAATCAGAAAATGTTAGGCTAGTGTTGGATATTGAACCTTGAATATTTGTTTACCGACTGAAGGATTTTATGTGTGAGTGAGAATCTTTGGAAATGTATGGAATTCTCACCCTGCAATGGATATTCTTGCTTAAACAACAGTATACTCGTATACTCCAAGCATACTCGTAGATATCTGATCAATATATCATTCAAACGACTCGATTGCATTCCTCTTGCTTCGTGGGATCTCAGCGTCTATTCTTTATATTATGGAATGATATGGTATAAATGTGGTGTGTGGTGGGTACAAGGTCTTGTTTGTTTGCTTTTCTCTCACTCTATGCACACTCTGCATAGCGGACTCTCTTTATATTAAAAGATATTAACTATTCGCATAAAGGACCCAAGCGCTGGCATACAGCATAGTCGTATTATGGGGGAAGGCTACCAGAATTTTTGGCATCCTACTGTAGATGTCTAATTTCACTCGACGATGTAACTTAAAATAGATATTTGAATCTATTTAGGACTTATTTAACGCCACTTAATCTATGCCAACACAAACACTATAAAATTATATGACATGCATTGTCGACGTTTACGAGGGCCCATACGTTATTTTATGAGTTCGCCCCGTAAAGAGGAATCCCGAAGTTTTCCATTATAGAACGTGATACTGTTCTCTTTGATGGATCGTCAAAGAGAGTTCTAAACTTATGACAAATCATATTTTGTTGTTTCGCAGAAGCGCCAAATCTTTGATGTTTGCTTTGTTGATTTTATGTGTCTAATGAAACGAATGAAGTATGTTTACGATGAAATATATACAATACTAGATTTAGTTCAAAGCTGTATAAGCTCAGTATTGTAGAGGAAATAAGCAATTTCTAGACGAGTATGCATTTGACGAGCTAGTCAGAGCTCAGCAATTGCTATTTCCGCCGCGGCATATAAAGTTTAGTATTTGTTGTAGAGAACACGAAGAAGTAATAAACTAAATTGAGTAAAAGACACATACCTACAGCGAATTTTGTAGATTCAATCAAGGTAATGCCTTTGGTCACGTAAACAGCTAGAACAGCTGCGCACTTAGCTCAATTATTATATACACGACCATAAAGGCCAACATAATATGAAAGCGGAACGGAGAAAAGGGTTCAAATTGTTGACTTCCCAATGCCACATAGTCAAATGTCATAATCCTCGATAACCGAATGCCGCTGAGTCAAATGTCACAATCGTCGACAACTCAACGCCGTTTAGCCAAATGTCACAGCCGCCGCTTAGTCAAAGGCCACAATCGTCGAGATCTCAACGCCGCTAAGTCAAATCATCATCAAAAAGATGGTTTTGTAGAATAGTGGCTTGCCTCAAAAAATATCAAATTCTTCAGGAGATAGCTTAAAAAAAACCAAGACTTACCTGGTACCCAAAGTCAGTGAATCACATACCGGCCCAACAATGTGGTCAAGTTATTTTAACCAATAGAAAGCTTGGATTCGATGTGGATAGAGTTCAAAGGGAGTCGTAATAAGGGAAAAACAGATTAAATATTATTTACAACCGTGTTTGGTGGCATTACGGATTGCATACGTACACTATGGGCGATGAACGAGGTCGTCCCGGATTCGATTCCCGGTAGAACCAATTTAGGAAATGAGCTTTTCTGAATTGGTTCCGGTGTGGATGTCCTGGGTAGTGCTCCAGAGTGAATTCCGTTGCTCTGGTACTAATAGTACAGTAAATTTCATAGTTTGCGACCAGGTCTTATGTTGTCATTAATAATATCGGTGATTTCGTTAATGGATTCCAAAAACGGTGATTATATAGGTTATCGTTATGGTTATTGGATAATAATCATTGTTAGTATATGGAGAGTGTTGTACAAGGAGAGGATTTTGATCCAAATTTGCATGTTATAATTTGTACACGTCTTTGTTACTTACAGGAACTAAGAACCTCCTCAGTTCAGCAAGGGCATACGCGATCCGCGCATGCGCTTCTGCAGGTGTCGCGAACGCACTGATTTCGACGTGAAGTTCATCCGACAGATGAGCGAACTTCGGGTCTCCTGAGACACGCAGTTCTTCCTCCTGCAAAGAGATAAAGAAGGAAACGTAAAGAATCTGTTTTGTCGTCGCTACCATCAGCAAGCAGATAGGCCTGCCTATCATCGAGTTAAATTAAAGGTAGAGTAAATCAGGAATGCGATAAAAAATAACTTTTTGCCTCCTGTAATAATAAAATGACAGTAATAAAAATTCCTTTTTCTCCACAAAAAACATTACAGCTAGAAACAGTTTAAAAGTTTGGTTTTACTAAGCATGAAGCATTTGACCTCCACCTCACCTGATGGAAATTGACGATGAGATCGACGATGTAGCATGCACACCTAATTAATGCCTACTCACTCTCGCCTTGAAAAGGCCCAAAAAAAAGGTTATAGCGTCCTTAGTCGAAGCAAAATGCTTCGTACCAATCCTTGGAATATCCACAACATAGAGGTGGAACCCGAGCCTACGTCTAGTCCTGCGATGATAGAAATTGATGGGAAATAAATCATGCAATTCCATCGCAAATTTTTTTGTAATTTTGGGGGAGTCTGATGCCTAAACTAAGCATACAAAGCCTACGCGTCAGGCCATCAGTCTCCCAACACCAGAATGCACCCAAACAATTCTTTCATCAAGATAATATACACTCGAGCACTACATAGTAATGTGTGAAGACCTCATTATGCGTCTCATATATTCAGACTGGAGCGTGTAGGTACAAAAATGTTTCTCGTGGCTTTGTGTTACTAAGTAGGACTTCTGCATGCCAATGTTTGAAAAGCGAAGAGATCTTCAAGGCTTGATGTTTTCACATAAAATTCTAAGACACGTCTTTTAAGATTCCGTCACCCTGAGCCTTAAAATTTACAAGTCCCATATACCTTTGTTTCAAAATCGAAATGCAGTAATGTGTACTGATTCGATTGACCCTTACAGGCGAATTTGCGTTGATACGACCGATGCTCTCCTCATATTCGTGTCTCGGCCAGTGTGAGCAGCAAAGTGGTGAGAAAGGAGAATCGGCCCGTATAATCACAGGCCGCGCGAAATACATATCACAAATACATCCCAATGTTCTAATTTCTACAACGTCCATCCCACTTTCTTGGTTCTTCTGGCATACTCAACATTGGCCTATTAATGATGTGGCTATGGGTTACACATAGAAACGTGAAGATATCTGATTTCCAGCTTTTGCTCTCCGTTCAATATCATCTTTACGCTTACCATTTCTCATTAATATACATTAGTGAGAAATGATAACTTCGACATGGTATAACGGAGTTTGGGAGTTGTTGTGGGCATTCTTGAAAATAATTAATAAAAATAAACCCGCAAAAAACCCCTTACCGTACCTTGTTTTTTGTGTTGGGTATTTTACGTAATGAAATTAAAAATGTATGTGTTATATAAAATTAGTCTAACCTTTTGGCGATCCTTCATGGAACCTCTGCCGAGTACAGCCATTTTGCACATGGTGTCCTCCTGCAGCCTCTTCAGAGAGTTGCCCTTTGGCCCCAGAAGTTTACCCACGAAGTTAAACTGTTGACAATAAAGAAAATTTGTTATAATTATTAATACCAACATCGAACACTAAGAAAACAATTCCTTCGATCCGGCCGGATTCGAACCGATGTCTCCTAGCAAACCGTGTCGGAGGTTGTGCCAACTAAGCCACGGAACGAACCAGCGGACGTCACGAATATAACGAAAAAAGTGATTGTAATAGGGCTTAAATTGCCGAAGCGAGACGACACCACAACATTTTACCAGCTAGAGGTATTATGCGTTACAGTAAATTGTTATACGAACAGCCTGCTCAAAGTTCAACTTCAAATCCTACATTTCCGAAACAAATTTTGAACTAAGTTGGAGGATAACTACTTCTCAATATATATAGGAGATATTGACGGTTTCGGTAGCGTAACGTTTCTCACTATGGGCACTAGATGAGAAGGTTCCGGGTTCGATTTCCGGTAGGACCAATTTGGAAATTGACTTTTCTAAATTAGTTCTGGTTTGGGTGTTCTGGGAAGTGCTCCAAGTACATAGGAATTCCCTAGTTTGAGACCAGGCATTGTGGTTGTCTGGAACATAATATTTATTATTATAGGATTTGTTATTTCTCTGAAATTCAGACTGGGTTTCAAGAAGTTAGACAACTATAAGCCTCGTACTATTTAAATGATGTGAATTTATATAAAGACAATAATGGACTATAACAGAAACAAGTCATGACAATATTTTATCAATACGTCATAGAATTGATGACCCATTTGGGTCCCCTGTGGGACGCCAACTTTAGCCATTTCGCGTCAAACTGACAGAGGGTCCATGATTAATCAATCAATGCTTAATTAAAGTTTATCGTTTGGTTCGACTGACCTCTCGAGACAATATATCATACTCTTTAGGTTAATAGAGAAGTTATCGGTGAATCTGGACTAACTTTTAGAAAGATTCTATGAGTCGTCGAAGTAGAGGTTTGTTCATTTTAAGAATAAGTTTTTTAAACTTGTAGTAGGATCATTCAATTTATGTAAATCATTGACTTACAATTACATGGACGTCGGGTCCGCGCTAAAAAGTGTCCGAACTTATAGGGCGTTAAAATCGTATACAGAGCGTCATTCACGCTTTAGTCTTCGTTTGTTCGACTGACAGCGAAGCAAGCAAAATTAGACAGTACTGCAATGACATTACAATTTAAATTCAACGTTTTAGCTTTTTCATATTCCTTTACATATCACTACGTTTAAATAGGTTGACTTGGGACATTTTTTTCGTGGTTTTTGTATTAGACCCGTCGTCCATTTATTTGTAAGTCATTGATGTAAATGCATTAATAATCTCAGTACAGAGTACTAAAAAAACCGACTTCAATACTACGTGGAATTACATCTATTTGCCAAGTGTTATTGAAATAGGTTACCGAAAAGTACGCGACACCAATTTATCCTCTAATTTGCCACCCTTTTATTTTACGGAGATATCGCGTAACATAGTTTTTTGAAGTCGGTTAAAATATGTTTTAAACGACTTTAAAAGAGAAGGAATAAAAGGGCAGGGAAATTATCTGGGATAATCGCAAAGATCTGAGGGGCACTGCCATTGCGACTGTTAACTGAGACATAAGTTGACAAGTCCCATGTGCGTGTAATTTCACCAGCACCCTTACCCTTCAAAACCGGAACGCAATAATACTCATATTACTGCTTGGCGGCAGAAACAGGTAAGGTGACAGTACTTCCCTGAACGACCCTTTCACAAGGATGGCTACTGCTGCTAAATAGCGGCTCGACTGTTAGTGATAAACCACTATTCTAAACTTTTAGCAGAACATCAAACTTACAAAATGCTATCTACCATTGAGATGATTTAAAATTAGGAAACTTGGAGTCCAGGTAATTGGTGTGGCTTTTTGCCACGTTATTATTATCGAAATAGGCTTCAATTGCTTTTAAACACGCAATAAATCATAGAACACGATCATTTTAAATTCCAACCATATTAACAGCCAATCAGGTCAACCCAATCGTCGCCAATTTGTTTGCAAAACCCAAAACTTTTAATGGCACCAATAAATCAAGAAACCCTTGAAACTTTCTGGTTTTTGAAAGTAATTTATTTTACTGAAAAAATAAATTTGGACGATGTTATTTATTAGGATTTTTCGTTTAGAAATACAGTTACATTAATCGTATATGACTCATAAATAAATTCCACTATCTATTAATGAATATTAGAATATAGAGGAGTAATAATAGGAAGTGAAAGTATCTCTTCGGATCAATTTCGCGTATATTTTTGTTTTTTCAACCAGATCAACATTTCGGGCCCTTTACAGGTCCCATGACGGCTGACTGAGACGGTTAAGTCAACAACCAGTTATTTCGATTCTGAAACATAGTTACAAAAATTATTAATTAAATACCTTATTTTAATTTTCTAAAGAACGTTCCAATTTACGCTACGCTACATACGTTTTAGAAAATATTTTATTTTAACAATATGAATTTTCATATTTTTTTTATAATATCATGCGTGGGAATGAACAAGTCGTGCGCCTGATGGCAATCTACACGCCAGTCCATAACATTTGCAGTACCATCGCAATGATCTGAGGGGTACTGCCACTGCGCCAGTCACCCTGAGACGTAAGTTCCATAAAATTAATTTATATGTATAATAATGACAATTAGAATATACTAAAACATATTTATTATTACTGCAGTCTTATAATTCATTTTTTGTCAACTTATGTCTGCGGGACAGGCGCAGTGGCAGTGCGCCTCAATCTTTGCGATTTAAAGAGCTAACAGTGGCACTGCAACTGTTAGGGACAGGCGTGTAGCTTACCACCAGGCGCAGGACTTGTTCGTCCCATCACTTGATATTGTAAAAAAAAAATTGTGTATCAATCGTGAAAACGTAACAACTCGAAAAATGAAAAATTAGTACTATATCTAAGTATTTTCTATACGTACAGGATTACCTTCTTCAAATATCTCCTTTCACCATTAATTAACATTCCATAGTGTAAAAGTAAATTGTTGCCTTCAAGAGACCACTCAACCTACATAAGGAGTAGATTGTTCCTTTTGTACCTTTGAGTGTAAGTAGAGCGCGCCACGAGGCAATGGAGAGCTCGGTAAACATGGCCCGCGCGGCAAACACTACATTGTGCAATGGCTCATTATACGGCACTTGATCCAGATGAGGGCCTTCGTGGCTTACTGATATAAAAAATACTGGACAAAGAGCGTTTTAAGGGGAGAATCAAATCTCACGGTAAGGTAGAAAAGCTCCGCCATGACTTTACAAAGCAACGAAAAATGTTTATTTAAACGATTAATTAGAGAATAAAATATAGCCCTAACCAAAACATAATTTTCGTTTTTTTTTATATTATTCATTTTTTTTAAGTTTAACGGTAGAGTGACGTACATAGATAACGTACATTAGTACCAGTAGAGCGCCTTGTCAAAGAGTTCGTCCAGGGAAGTACTGCCATCTTACTTATTTCTGCCGCTAAGCAGTAATGTGAGCACTACTGCGTTCTGGTTTAGAAGGGTAAGGATCCTAGTGTTACCGGTACATGAGACTTGTCACCTTATGTCTCTGGGTGACGGGCACAGTGGCAGTGCCCCTAAGATCTTTGCGATTAAAAGTTTTAAATGGCACTATAACTGCTATGGATAGGCGTGCACTTGATATTATAAAAAAATACGTGTAATATAATATAAAAACTAGATAACTGATTTACACGTATTCTATTGGTCGGCAACTTGTGGCGCAATATCTGCTACCGACCTCATAATCGCCAGTTTACGAGACCCTTCGGTCAAAACTCCTCCTTCGAATTCGAAGGTCGATAGATATTTTTCTGTTGTGTTTATTTGGTGCAATTAATATTACGTGTTGTTTTTATTAATTATTAGAGAAACGATTTACCAAGCTAACTGCGGCATTAACTAGTCTATAGTATAGTATTGACAGATCCATAGATATAGGATAGATCATGGTTTCTTTGTTTTCAAATATCACGGCAGTTTGACAATTCAGCTGGGTGAGTGGGTTGGCGCTGGTGTCTTTTTTTTATGAAATATGAGTACGCATTTGACTTCCATCTTACCTGATGGAAAGCGACGAAGAGGTCGACAATCGAGCATGCACACCTAAATAATACCTATTCACTCTCGCCTTCAAAATGTCCAAGTTATAACGTTCAGGGAACAAGTCTGCACGCAAGGAATTTCACTCCATACCCGTTCGCCATATAAATGTGGAAGCGTAACGCTTCGTATGAATCTTTGGAATATCCACAACATAGAGGTGGTACCCAAGCCTACTCTATCTTTATCTGGTCACCCGATGATGGAAAGGGGAAGGCGGAGTTAAATTGTGTAATTCCATGGCACGCTCTCCGTGATATATCCTGTAAAATCTTTTTATTTAACATTTCTTTCTCACTCAATGCATTGTTAATAATTTAATAATGATTTTTCATTTCAATTACGACTTGTATTCCGTTACGTAATGACACGACCCGTCTTGAGCGCAACGAGTTTCCTCTGTGTGGACTCTTGCAGAGTTCGGAATACGAAATACGCATATTGCTGAATATGTTTGTTCTGCTTCGTTGTTCCTGTGCACGAGTTTTTTGTGTTGTATATGTTATGTCTATATGTCTGTGACTGTATCTATTCATAACTTGAAGCTGTTATCACAGGCCACATAAATACTTTTCTTTCTTTCGTGTTGTTTATTGTGTATCAGTTTGTCTGTTTACCTACTTTTTGTTTTATTTAATGTATATTTAGGGGACTAAAGGTTTTTTATAAGTTAATTTTAAAATATATATTTTTTTATATATGTGTAACTGTTTGTCCCTCAATAAATAAAAAAAATCGATAAGCAGGCAACTGTACGGCAGTGTTCAAGGCTCTGTAGTTTCGCCTTCACTGATTTTGAGTCACCTATAAGCCTCCCGGCGCGGTTGTTGATTGAATCCAAGGTGGCAGCAGTACTCCATGCACGTC